GCTGGAGTTATATCAATGAAATGCAAGGCATGGGGCTTATTTGTATCCTGATTTTGGGCAAAAACTATATATAAAAAAGACATTTTTGAGGCAGAAAGAGAAAGGAAAAGCAGATTACTATTCAATAATATTAAAGAATAATTCTTACTTTGGTTTGGTTTGGTGTGTTTCAAAGGAGATCAATATTGAAGCAGTTATTGATGAAACTTTATATTGGCTAGAACTTGCCTTTAAATATTGTAGCCGCCAAACATGGAAAGAGATGGATAAAGCAAGAATGTTAGGATAGTGACTAAATGGTGAAATTCAGACAGAGGTGTGTGAGGTAATTTACTTCTTTCTCTAGTTTTGTGCCTGAAAATTTCTGGTATAATGTTCAAACCAAACGGGAGGTGCTACTGTGCCTCACAGGCTGGGGACAGGATTCCCTGGCGTTCTTGGACTCTGGGGCAGGGAGCCTGACCCGAGCCAGTCCTTAAACTGCCAGCACACCCACCCACGTAGCTCCCTCCAGCTGAGTCAGTCTGAGCCCTGTTCTTTTGTTCTCATACTTTCTCTTTTTTGGCTGTTTGTGTGAGGCAAGGTCACACGGGTCCCATTCAAGCCTGGGAAGTGTCATCAATCCCTTTTTTGGCCTCAGTTCAAACTGCAACCTCGAGCAAAATTAGCCCAGATCTCTTTACTTTGGAAAATAAAATTGACCCTTTGAATTCAATTTAGCTCAGATCTTGGTGGTCAAGTTCAATCGGCAGAGCCCTGGAGGGCCGGCTGTCATCTGCACCTAACCCACAACTGTGGGAAGCAGGTCAGGTAACACCGAGACAGAAAAGCTGAATCTTTGAGGGAAGGTTTTTTGAGGATAATGGGAAATTATGCATGCTCCCAAGCTAAGGTCAATGATCCAGGGTAATAAAAATGTTAAAAACTTGAGAAAGTGGGATTAAGCATTAAAGCCAGGTCCCAAAGAGAGCAAAATAAGGATCACGGATACAGCTGAAGAATTCATTTCAGAAAGAGAGGGGATTTATTTTTCTGTACATTGGTGGGGAGAAAAAGAAACAGCAAAAACTACAGAGACAAGGTAAGATGGACATGAAGGAGGCGGAGGTAGCATTTCTCTGGTGAGAGGGATTTTTTGAAGTCCGAAGAATAGAGAAGGAGAGAAAGGAAAGGGCTTAGGCTCAGGGCTAGAATAACACCAATGGTATAAAGACTCACCGGGTGCTCTTCAGTGATGGCCCAGGAGTGGGACTGGGCATTAGAGAGAGGATAGGGGAAAGCCAGAGAGCTGCCCGGATTCCTAGTGGACCTCTGAATGTGACTTCAGGCTGTACAGTAAATGTGGATGGGCGAGTAGGGGTCCTCCAGTCAAATAGCTCATTTCATGTGGTACAGAAAGACCAGGAGAGGACAGTTCAGAAGGTGGTGGTTAAAGGGCTCCATCCTGCAGGGAAGTTCATGTTCAGAGCCATCAGCTTGCCTCTCTCTCCCACACCCCACTGCCTGCCTGGCCAAGGTCCCTGGTGAACAAGCTGGCTTAGATCTAAATCAGAGGCAACACCCTAAACAGCCCTGGAGGGCGTGGAGCATTCCTATGCTACCCTCTCCTCTGCTTAAGTCATGTTTTACAGCCCATTCTACAACAGATGTGTAAGCTTATCTTTGTTCTCTCACCATGGAGAAAATAAGTGTCACGTCAATGTAATAATGACAAGGCTGCATTTTCACACACAGAGAAAATATGGGCAGCCTATATTTTAAAGTAAGTTTATTTATTTTTTCTTTTTTTATTTTATTAATTTTTAAAATTTATATATGACAGCAGAATGCATTACAATTCTTATTACACACCTAGAGCACAATTTTTCATATCTCTGGTTGTATACAAAGTATATTCACACCAATTCATGTCTTTATACATGTACTTTGGATAATAATGTCCATCACATTCCACCATCATTTCTAACCCCATTCCCCCTCCCTTACCCTCCCACCCCTCTGCCCTATCTAGAGTTCCTCTGTTCCTCCCATGATCCCCCTCCCTACCCAACTATGAGTCAGTTACCTTATATCAGAGAAAACATTTGGCATTTGTTTTTGGGGGATTGGCTAACTTCACTTAGCATTATCTTCTCTAACTCCACCATTTACTTGCCAATGCCATGATTTTATTCTGTTTTATTGCTGAGTAATATTCCATTGTGTATAAATGCCACTTTTTTTAAACCATTCATCTATTGAAGGGCATCTAGGTTGGTTCCACAGTTTAGCTATTGTGAATTGTGCTGCTATAAACATTAATGTGGCTGTGTCCCTGTAGTATGCTGTTTTTAAGTCCTTTGGGTATAGACCGAAGAGAGGGATAGCTGGGTCAAATGGTGGTTCCATTCCCAGATTTCCAAGGAAACTCCATACTGCTTTCCACTAGTGTTATCCTAACCCTGAGCCTAGATTGCAGCAATTTGCAGTCCTACCAGCAGTGTATGAGTGTACCTTTTTCCCTACATTGTCGCCAACACTTATTGTTGTTTGTCTTCATAATAGCTAGCATTCTAACTGGAGTGAGATGAAATCTTAGAGTAGTTTTGATTTTTCATTTCTCTAATTGCTAGTGATGATGAATCACTTTTTATTATATTCGTTGATTGACTGTATATCATCTTTGATCAAGTGGGATTCATCCCAGGGATGCAAGTTGGTCCAACAAACAGAAATCAATAAATGTAACTCATCACATCAATAGATTTAAAGATAAGAATCATATAGATGCATAAAAAGCATTTGACAAAATACAGCACCCTTTCATGTTCAAACACTAGAAAAATTAGGAATAAAAGGAACATATCTCAACATCATAAAGGCTATCTATGCTAAGCCCAGCCCAACATCATTCTAAATGGAGAAAAATTGAAGGCATTCCCTCTAAAAACTGGAACGAGACAGGGATGCCCTCTTTCACCACTTCTATTTAACATAGTTCTTGAAAAACTGGTCAGAGCAATTGGACAGGTGAAAGAAATTAAAGGGATACACATAGGAAAAGAAGAACTCAAATTGATACTATTTGCTGATAATATGACTCTGTATCCAGAAGACCCAAAAAGTTCCACCAGAAAACTTTTATAACTAGTAAATGAATACAGCAATGTAGCAGGATATAAAATCAACACCCATAAATCAAATACATTTCTGTATATCAATGACAAATCCTCAGAAAGGGTAATTACCCCATTTACAATAGCCTCAAAAAAAATACTTGGGAATAAACTTAACAAAAGAGGTGAAAGATCTATATAATAAAAATTACAGAACCCTAAAAAAAGAAATCAAAGAAGACCTTAGAAGACCTTGCTCTTGGATAGGCAGAATTAGTATTATCAAAATGACCATACTACCAAAAGCACTATACAAATTTAATGTAATTCCAATCAAAATACCAATGATATTCCTCATAGAAATAGAAAAAGCAATCATGAAATTCATCTGGAAAAATAAGAGATTCAGAATAGCTAAAGTAATCCTTAGCAGGAGGAGTGAAGCAGGTGGATTCACTATACCAGACCTTAAACTATATTATAGAGCAATAGTAACAAAACAGCATGATATTGGCACCCAAACAGACTGATAGACCAATGGTACAGAATAGAGGACACAAAGACTAACCCACAAAACTACAATTATCTTATATTAGACAAAGGTGCCAAAAACATTCATTGGAGAAAAGATAGCCTCTTCAACCAACAGTGCTGGGAAAACCGGAAATCCATATGCATCAAAATGAAATTAAAACCCTATCTCTCACCATGCAAAAAACTCAACTCAAATTGAATCATGGACCTAGGAATAAAACCAGAGATCCTGTGTCTAATAGAAGAAAAAGCATGCTCTAATCTCCATCATGTGGGATTAGGCTCCAACTTCCTTAATAAGACTCTTTTGGTGCAAGAATTAAAATCAAGGATTCAAACTAAAAAGTTTCTTCTCAGCAAAAGAAACAAGCTGTGAGGTGAACAGAGAGCCTACATTTTGGGAGTAAATCTTTACTCCTCACACAGCAGATAGAGCACTATCTCTAGGGTATATAAAGAATCCAAAAGCTAAGCACCAAAAAAAACAAATAACCCAATTGATAAATGGGCCAAGGACCTGAACAGACACTTCTCAGAAGATGATATACAATTAATTAAAGTAAGTTTATTAATTGTATCAACACACCTACTAGGGATTTAAATATCTACACCAGATATTTTCTCAAATATTCCCGCTCACTGATAATCGAGCACACACAGACACAATTCAAAGAATAAATTCAGCATTTTCAATGATATATTTTGTTTATAGTCACAAAAGAACAAAATATTTAGAGATAATTAATATTTCCTGGAGTGTTTCCCCATAGAAATCAAAACATTATTAGATCTGACTTAACACCCAATGCATGCATGCTGTTAGAAAGTACTTCTGTTCCTCAAATTTGTGACCTCCTTCCCCAGGTCATATTGATAATTATAAATGCTAATCAGTCTCATAAATTCAGTTAACAACTTTTATGATGCTCTACAACAATAAAGATATAGCACCCTCAATATCTTGCAGGTACTATTTGCATTGACATCTTGTATAATGAATCTTGTTGGCTTGCTTCAATTTATAGAACTGACCAAACCCAGTGATCAGACCCAGTTCAATGATCTCACAGCAAAGTTTGAAGGACATGAAACTGGGAGCAAAGAGATTGTTTGTTTTGTTTTCCTAACTTGGCACTAATTTAAGATCCAGGAAACTCATATCAACTTCAGTTCCCACATATATCTAACAAGCTGATAGAATGAGAGATTCCCTGAGATGCCTCTCAGACCAGTCATCTATAATTCTGCTTGATTGCTTTACTGGTGAGCATACATCTCTTATTTCTACCTACAGGAAGATCCCAACAAGCAGATTGTAGAGGACTCTAGTGCCCAGCCCTTGACTTTAGCCATAATTACCTGAATACACAGTATCGACTGGGCATTCATTGAAGGAGATATTCTGGACTTCTCAGAAGTGTAAGTAAATTATCAATAGGATTTTATTTTTGGTTGAGTATATGAAGTATCTCAAGGGTTGTTTGAACAACTGACTTTCTTTGCTTGCTCAAGGTCCCCGCTTTCTTTGCACCTCACTATTGAGCAGATGGCCTGCTGGAAGTTGTTGCTGACCACCACGTAGAGTAACAGGTTACCAAATGTGTTCAGAGCAGCCAAGGGTCTAGAAACGATGTAAGCTTCGTGGATCTGATTCTCGATGGAGCAGCTGATGGAAAGCAGGCGAGATTCAATCCGAATGACCCTCAAGACATGGAATGGTAAAAAACATATATAAAATACGAGCAGGAGCAGTATGGTCAGCCTGCGAGCTTTCTGTTTAAGGCAGCTCTGAGTCTGAGGTCCGTGAGTTAGGGTATTGATAATTGTCGTATAGCAAAGTGTCACGATCACCAAGGGGAGGCAGAAGGTGGTGGCAGTCAAAATTAGATTGTACCATTTGATAGTGGTGAGGTCATCTGAACTGGTGAGGTCAAGACAGGTGGATCGATTGGTCATGTTAGTTGATGTAATCAGGAAGGTCATGGGCATGACCGCCACCAGCGAAATGATCCACACCACCGCACAGGCTACCACCGTCCACCGAGTCTTGTGGATGGAAAAGCAGCTCATTGGGTGGATGATCACGATGTAGCGGAAGATGCTGAAACAGGTGAGCAAGAGGATGCTGCTGTACAGGTTGAAATGGAAGCCGAAGCGGATGAACTTGCACATGAACTCCCCAAAGATCCAGTTTTCCCCGCTGGCGTAGTAGTGGATGAGGAAAGGGAGGCTGGTTAGGTACAGCAGGTCAGTGCAGGCCAGGTTCAGCATGATGATGGTGCTGCTTCTCCAGGGCCGCATTTTGAAAATGTAAGTGGAGATGGCTACTGCATTCCCCGGGAAGCCCACGAGAAAGATGATGCCATAGATAACAGGGAGGTAGTGCATCTTGAGGGAGATTTTTTCATCAGTGCAATTTCCAAAAGCAGCTGCATAATCGGGGAAATCAGAAGCGTTTGCTAAACCATCCAGTGGCTCATTCATGGTTGTCTCCTTTCATCTTGCAAGGAAACAAGAGGGTTCACTTTAGCAACATGAATGAAGTAAGGAGTAACTGGCTGGGAAAGGAAAACAGAAACCATTAATGAGAAGGGAATGAAAACAATGAACGACTTTTAAATGAAAATTGCTCTTAACACCCTAAATTTGCCACTTTTTTTTTTTTTCTCTTTAATCTCAAAAGAGACCCTGTGGAGAAGAGATTGAATTTCTCAGAAACTGACTGTGAGGCAAGTTACTAAAGGCATCTAATAATAATATAAAAGTTAAATTGCCATGAGAATTAAAGTGAAGGATTGGGAAAGAAACCGCACGTGGCGGTGGAAAACAATTTGTCAAGGTGACTGTTTGGCAAGTCATCGCTATCATCATTGGAGACCCGGCAACAAGGCCAAGGCACATCTCTGACATATTAAGTCTAAGTTCATGAAATGTTGCAAAATGTTTCTTATTGTCTCTCTTTTACAGAAGACACTAAGACCAAGAGAGGTTTTGCAACCTGTCCCTGGTAACACACCTGGTGGTTTAGCAAGGGATCCAGCCCCATGTTCTTCTGATTTCAAAGCTGTTCTCTAACTTACCTCTCTGAACTCTCAATCTATATTTTATTGATTTTTTTCAACAGTGTTATGGTTTGGATGTGAGATGTACCCCAAGAGCTTACATGTGAAACAATATAAAATGGTTTAAAGGAGAAATAATTGAGTTATGAGAGTCTTAACCCAATCAGTGAATTAATTCCCCTGATGGGATTAACTGGGTGGTAGCTGAAGGCAGGTAGGGTGTGGCTGGAGGAGGTGGTCATTGGGATAATGCCTTTGGGGTATATATTTTGTTCCTGGGGATTGGAGTCTCTCTCTCTATTTCCTGCTCTTCATGTGAGCTGCTTCCCTCTGCCACACTCTTCTGCCATGATGTTCTGCCCCACCTTGAGCCCCGAGGAATGAAGCCAGCCTTCTATGGACTGAGACCTCTGAACCATAAGCCCTCAAAACTTTTCCTCCTCTAAAATTGTTCTGGTCAGATCTTTTAGTCACAGGAGTAAAAAAGCTGACTAAGACAGCCAGGATTATCCTCAATAACTAAGGGAACAGGAAGTGTGAAAACGTGAAAAGACTGAATACTGTGAGTTTCTTAAATCTGGATTTTTAATGCATTGCAACGTTATGTGTGTGAAAGATTCAATTGCAAATTTCCGCTCTTCTAATCTGTTTTAACAGCAGCTCTAATCTATTCGTGTGTGTGTGTGTGTGTGTGTGTGTGTGTGTGTGTAGGGTGGGATCAGCTGTGCAGTGCAGCAGTTAGGAGCTTGGGCTGTGGGGGCAGGGGGAATGATCTTGATGCTGGTTTAGCCATTTAATAGCTCTGGGTCCTTGAGCAGGTTGCTTATACATTTTAGGGCTAGAGGAAGTGCAGTTTTAACTTCCTTCATCTGGATTCTCAGTTTCTTCTAACATTTTGACAGTGAGTTTTTGCAATGACTAAAGCACAAAGACTGTTTAAAAAGAGTTACTTAATTATAATGGATTCAAATAGCTGTTGGTAAAATACATCCCCTTATACACTGGTGAGGCCCCCACTGTGTATTAATTAGGCACTCTGCCAGGTCCCAGAGATAACGAATGAATAACCACAGAGATGTACTGGGGGAGATAGACACAGAAATTTATTTTAACAAAATATAACCTTATCTCATGGAGCTGTAAACATATTTTGTAAAATAGCAAGAAAAACACTTGGCACACTCCCAGGCACATAATAAGCTCAATAAAAGTTAGGTGGCTGTTAATCATTAAGCCATTTAATAGAAAAATGACCCGAGGATACTGAGACCACACACACACACACACACACACACACACACACACACAGTTACCTGGAGAACAAGAAAGAGCACTAAAGGAAAGTCACTGAGAGGGAACATTTAAGCTGAATTTAGCAAGAGGAAGGATTTTTGGAATCAAGGATGGGAAAGGTATTCTATGCAAAGGGGACAGCAGCTTGTGCAAAGGCACCAAGAGATGACAGGGACAGGGAGGTCCGGGACCTTACTAGCCAGCATGGCTGCTCTGTTAAGGGGCACTGGGAGATGAAGATGGAAAAGAAAAAAATAACTAATGAGAAAAATAACAGTGCCTCCTTTGCAGAAAGCACTCCTCTAATTCAAATTCATCTAATCCTCCCAACAGATGAGGTAGGACTGTGCTTGTCCCCATCTTACAGAGGCGTGAAGAGGCAGTGTGCCCAGGGTCCCAGTGCTGGCTGCAGCTGAGCCATCTGCCTGCAGGACAGGCTGCCTCTCACAGTGAGGAGGCAACAGCGCCCCACGGTAATGAAGATGAGTTGGATGTTGTCCCAGGAGAGCTCAATAAATCACACACTGCAACGGTGACCCAGGGCTAAATGCCAATAATACCTACTTCTTTGGGTTGAGAGAGATTAAATGATTTAAATAATTTAAACACGGAGTTGAGAAGGGTGCCTGGCTCCTGGCTTGTGCTCTCTCAGTATTTCCTGTTATTATTGCTATTATCTGATATTAAATCTACACTATCAAGCATTTCCTCAGAGTAGTATTGAGACATAGTTCAGACTGGCCCAAACTAATGAATCTGAAATTGGTAGGCAAGAGGCAAGCTGTCGGCTCTGAACATGAACTTCCCTGCATGATGGTGCCTTTTAACCACCACCTTCTGAACTGTCCTCTCCTGGTCTTTCTGTTCTACATGAAATGAGCTATTTGACTGGAGGACCCCTACTCGCCCATCCACATTTACTGTACAGCCTGAAGTCACATTCAGAGGTCCACTAGGAACCTGGGCAGCTCTCTGGCTTTCCCCTATCCTCTCTCTAATGCCCAGTCCAGCTCCTGGGCCATCACTGAAGAGCATCTGATGATGAAATGATGAAACCATTTCCTGTCCCGTTGACTGGCCTTCAGTAGACTCCTCCAGACCTCACTTAGGGTGCAGGATGGAATGCATATCTGGTCATTACTCTTATTCTGTATGAACTGGGGAAAGAATGGGTCAGGGATATGGGGCTTGCCTCTGTCACTGTTAGGATGCTCAGGGGAGAGGATCTCTGGGACCATGCAGTGCTGAATGGGTGGGCTTCTGGTTGAGTTAACCTACTCTAATTGGAAGCACTATGCACAGAACTAGCACCTTCACAGCCCTGGAGGTGACAGGAGTCAGAACCCCCACCCCCACCCCCGAACCCCCAGACCCTGCGCAGCAAGGTGCTCTGAGGCCAGGAACCCACACGGGACAGCCTCTCCCTTGGCCAAATCCCTTACATGGGATCCTGCACCGAGCACAGGCAGTAACATAACCCTGAAAGGAAAGGGTCACAGTCAGGAATCCCTGGAGCCCCCATCTCACAAAGTCAGTTCTGAGGATGTCCAGAGGCCACTCACTCACTTGTGTTTCTGAAGCAAAGATGTAAAGATTGTTTTGGTAACAACCAAAGGAGTCTTCCAGAATATCTCATTCTAATTGGAACTTGGCTTAAGGAGACGTGAAAGGGAGAGAAGGGGCGAGAACTCCAGTCCAGCATGCTTTCAGTTCCATGAAAGCAGAAACACAAGACACCCCATACTACCCAGGGGACGATACTCAGAAGGGGCTCAATAAATATTACTGAATGCATTAAAGAACAGTCGGTAGCATCAGCAAATGGTATTCTGTGCTGAAGGGCCAAGGAAGCCGTACCTATAATTCAATGACAAAACAAAAACCAGAGCTTGTTTCCGTAACGTCTTAGAGTAAGGATCAAAATTACTACTCTTGTCATTGCCAAATAAATCCCTGGCCTTGATCTGAGGACATTTTTAACAATAATCACATCAGGCAAAGGCAGGTTGTAGGTAGAAAGAACCACCTTATTGTTTTAAAAAGCAACAGTTCAACTTGGAATTTAATGGAGACTGAGTAACCAATTGGAAGGCAAAAGGGATTGACTGAGAAACTTAAGCTGTCTTGCATAACCTCACCAAAGGTGTGGTCTGAGTTTACAAAATATGTGTGATATTAAGAACAAAACACAAAAACCAGCCTGTGCAGTGGGAAGGTAGGGTGAAGCAGTTTCTCTTCTCCCTCATTCCAGGGTCCCATCGTTCGCGCAGTGATCCAGAATGCCCAGTCCACAAACAAAACAGTTAAACTTTGAGGACATTAAATAATAATGTGCCAAAGCCCCAGGGGAATTCCCTGTCTTTTGCCACAATAGAGGTTCTGGGACTTGAGATTACAGACCACCCCGGACTAATGGGCTCTTTATATACTGAAAATATGGATGTCCTGAGCTTCCATGTTACCCAATATGTGAGTGTTAACCAAACTCTATGCCCTGTGAATAAAAGCAAGCACCAAAGGTTTGGGGCTTTTTGAAGAAAAAAATATAATTTAAATCTCGTGTCTTTTCCATTGAAGTTGAGGAGAGGTTATGATCCTTTGAGGCTAGCTATAGACTGTCAGTGTTTGGGACCCCCTGTCTTAATGCCTGCTCACCCCTGAACTTCACAGACTGAGAATCCCAGGTGCTGGGTAAAGAAGGCAGAGTCAGAAGCGGTATCTACCTGGGGATTGGCATGTACCACTCCACCTCCACAGAGTCCGCCTGCCCATTCAGTGGAGTTACTGACATGAGATGGTTCTAGGGTGTCTGTCAGCTTTGCAGTAAACCATCATCCAACCAACACCCCCTCTGCGAGCTCCGCCTCCTTCTCCCCTCTCACCCTGGGCATTTCCCATGCTGCTGGCCCTTCACAGCTGGCTCTCTCCCCTTATCCCAAGCTGCCAATGGACTAGGAGGAACACACTGAGTGCACATCCTTCACTTCTCCAGTCCTTGGAAGCTCATCTGCTGAGGTCGCTTTGCGTCACCAGGCAGAGACTTTCATTCCCGTACTAAGTTGATTCCAGAGGGGTGGAAACAGCAATTCTTAACCTAGAAAATTTGTGACTGGGTGAATATGATTCCCCCTCTCCTCACCC